TCTCTTTCTCCTTTTTATACAGTCTGGGATCTCAGCCCAGGCCATAATGCTACCTGCAATGCGTGGGCCTTCCCAACTTAACCTAATCAAGATAATGCCCAGAGGCTGGTATCCCAGGAAATTCTAAACCCCATCAAGTTGACAATTGAGTAAACCATCACACCTTCTTATGGAATTAGCCTAGGTACCCATCAGTGGCAACTGCAAAGAAAATGGAAAACTATTTTGCCATAAAGAATAAAACTATGTCATCTTTAAGAAAATGAATGGAACTTATGGAAAATCCAGACTCAGAAATACAAGTATTACATATTTTCTCTCACATATAGAATTGAGGGGGAATGATCATGGGAACCAGGAGAAGGAGGAAGAAGAGTAAGAGAGAGAAATGGGGGGCTATGATGAAAGTACATTATATACACATATGAAATGTCTCAATGGAAACCACTGCCTTATTTAATTATTACTTTCATGATTATACACCAGTAAAAAGAAGAACAAAGCTGTGAAACTTACAGGAAGAGCAGGGATGCAAATCATCACATAAACTTGGGCTAGCCTGAAATAACAAGACAGTCCTTTCAGTCCACAGGAAGCGGGTTTCTGGTAATACTATCTTTCTGGTAATACTGTCTTTGAGCTAAACACACAACAGAGTATCTTCTAAAAATTAAAATGAAACACTGATTGGGAGTCACTGAATCAGACTTTGGGTGGTGTTCTACAGTCTACACCATCAGTATGTGAAGGTTGCTAAGTGTTTCGTGCCAACTGGACACTTTCTTAGCCTAAAACCAGGGCAGGGGTGAGGATAACAGGAAAATATGCTAAAATTTGAGTGCAATATAGAAACTTTGTCAAAGTATCAAGACTACCTCACATGAGAGTCTTCTAGAAAGGACTGGGCACCCCTGGGCCAGTATCAGAAACCCAGCTGGAATGGTAAGTTTAAATAAAAACCAACTCTAAGTGCAAGAGTAAAGACAACTCCTGTGCATTCGACCCCTGTGGAGAGAAAAGTATGAAGGGATAGAGGGATGGAGGAGGGAGGGATGGATTTGATGAAGACCGCTGAACAAGGGAAGCAGCACAGGAGCTGGATGAGGATCCCTCTTTGAAGTATGACCACCACGCGCTTCAGGTTTTGGCCTCCAAAGGACTCAGGAAAACAGAGAAAATGTTCAGTGACAGGCAGACCATGTCACACGCTTTCTCCAAGCCTGCAGCCCAAGGAGCCACACTGTGCTGCCCACCGTGCTGCTCAGGGGAGCTGCCAGGAGGTACTGTACATAGTAGGGGCTGTTCTCACGGAGCCTGGAGGAGCAGAAGCCAATAGAGTGAAGCTTTGGGAGAAGGTGGGCACATACGAAGCGAAGACATGGAGGAAGAAGACCTCTACTGTACTGAGATAACCCAGGCGTTAAGGATGGCAGTGTGCTCACCTGGAAATTTTATCCAAGAGAACCAAAGGAAACCCAGAAAAGGCTAGTGGGATGGGAAGAGGCACTGATGAGCCTACGACTAGCGTAGGGGTCAGAACCCAGCATGCAAAGAAAACTTTTTTCCTTTTCTTTCTTCTTTCTTTCTTTTCTTTTTTTTTTTCTTTTCTCTCTTTCTTTTCTCTATCTCTCCTCCGTCCCTTCCTTCTCTCTTTCCCGTCTTTTTAAAAATCTTTCTTTCCTTCTTTCCTTTTTGTGTGCTAGGGATCAAACTCAGGGTCTCATACCTGCTAGACAAGTGCTGTACTACCGAGCTACAACCCCTCATTCTGGTTTTTTTTTTTTTTTAAATGGCTTGAGAATGCCAGAAGAGGGTGTCATATATTGCCTGGAACTGAAGTTACAGGTGATTGTGAGCCACTACATGGGTGCTGGGAACCAAATCTGGGTCCTCTGCAAGAGCAGTAAATGCTTTTAATTACTGAGCTAT